GCCCTGAGTGTCCATGGTGAAAGACCAGAAAACCACGTGGATAGGTGTCGAGCCATTCGGTTAATACCGGTAAAAATGACAATTTGGTAGAACTCGTAGAGTCTACTTGTAGACACCAACCTAGGGATTACCAGTGTCGTATTTACCGCCCCTATTGATTAAAACTGGAAGTCTGAAATGTCTTGAGATTGCAAGTTTATAATTGAGAATTTGAAATCTTCAAAAGAGCATGAAATGATATTTTCCTCAAAAGAGCATGGCATAGCATTGACATTTGCATTTTTATTGGGAATTGCATAACTGCATATACTTTGTTAGAATTCTCTACTGGGCTTTATGCTCACCTCTATGAGATTTGGTGCAGGTAAAGATGTGGCGATCCCGCCGAATTGAGGGCGTGGATATTTTTGTGAAGAGTAAATAGCTCTTTTATTTTGTTGTGAATTTTGTAAAGCCAAAGGCTAATTTATATGGGTCCGAGAGACCATTTTATGTAATCGGGCTATTGCCTTGGAAGATGTAAGCCCTTAAGAGCATTTATTTGTTTTCGAGATTAGACGCTTCACATGCTGTAGATTCATGTATTCATTTATGTTGTGAATGTATGTCGCGTATGGAACTTTTGTATTAAACTCATTTATTATATACATAGAAAGATGGAAGGATCATTGCCATTGTTTAGTGAATGTTTATTAATGTGAGTAGTTCATGTCGAATTATTTTTGAGGCGTTACAATAACACAAAGAGAACACTGACACTTGTGTAGGGACCAAAGTGAGATTTGATTAGAAGTATAGGAGGTTGACTATCATGATTTTATGTACAAGAATCAAAATGAGACTTAGTGCAAAGTGTAGAGTAATTTACCCATTAGTTTTAGAAAAATGTCATATGTCATTATTTTTTTATCGAGAAATGTTAAAGACTCCAAATTTAAGATGCACAAATTCATCTTGTGGCAAGGGAGTTGGATCTATGTCACGCCCCAAAATTTGAGACCACAAGAGAAATATATAAAGTACAACTCAAACAAAAGAGATAACCACAATATTTTAATATACACATATAAGCAGAGTTATAACATAGATAACTGATTTAAGTTCCACTAGAGGTTTACAAAACACTATCAAACCAAAAGGTAAAAGGAAAGAAAACAAAAACAAACTACTAGTCCAAATTTTTCAAGTGAACCACGGCTCTAAAACTTCATCTTGATTGTCTTCAGAATAACCTTCCCCGTCGTAAGCTGCTACATCACCTGGCATAACACGCCACGAGCTTGGAATACCCAGTAAAAACACACACACCCCTATATCTTCTATCAATCAATCAATCATACACAAAACAAATCAGGTAACATAACATACTTACGTTAAGGTTTTATGAATTAGTAGTTAGACTAGGCATCTAGAACCCCCCAAAGAGATCCTTCTACCCGACCACAAGATTAAACGCCGGACTACTCAGAACTCTCCCTTTTGCGGCTTTGCAGACCTTACCACCCATGCCCACCTCCCGATTACTTACCGGTCAGCGACATCGATGGACCTCAAAAGGGACGGCCAAACAAGTGGGCTTGCTTACACCCCAAATCGTGCCTAGGGCTCGCTTACACCCTGCACATACCATACCAAAGGGCTCGCTTACACCCTGAAACCACCGCATAGAGTCTGAATACGTCCGTGTCAACCTAGGGGCTCGCTCAAAAAGCTTACACAAGACTTAACTCATTTGGTATTAATCCCAACATAATTCATGTCATGCATATGTATAAAATTGTTCTAAAACACTAAGATGAACGTCACCCATTGCCAACCCTTTATCACTTCCCGTTTATTAGATCTTTTGCCAAGTAAGTCAGTCACATTCAGTAATTCGGTCATATAAAAGAGTATGAGAAAAACATACGAGAGGAAATATAATCTATGATCATCATTTATAAGTATACTAAGGCAAGAAAACAACATTAGAAATGCTTTGAAATACTTAGAGACAATTAACATAATAGAACACAATTTCCAGCACTGTTCGGTTCTGCAGGGCTAAAAAGAACACTTTGGTAAAAATACTTCTAGGTCAAATTAGGGGCTGAAATTTCACAGAAACAATATTCAATCTGTCTAGTTTCAGTTCCAATTTTCAAAAGTTGCACAGCCCCTCCCAAAAATTCATCTACAAACTATATTCGAAAACCTGTCCAGATTTGTCACCCTTTAGGAAAACTAGCTTTTCTCTCAATCTACCCGACGGTTTTCACTCAAATAAAATATGTTGGAAAGAGGACTCAGAGTTCTAAATTTTGACAGAAGAACCAACATGAGGTGATTTTTCTAGAATTTTATAAAATTGCTAAAAGTGGACTGTTTTTCAGAGACTCAGGACCATATTTTTCAACAAATTATCCAAGCCCTAAAAACACACAATTAGGAGCTAATAAAATTGTCACAAGCTCTAAACACATAAAATATTCTACAATAAATTCAGATTTGAGAATTAGATAGATTTGATATTTCTTTTAAATTAGAGAAGTTGCAGCAGTGCTTAATTTTACAAATTTGTAAGACAATGACACTATATCATACCCATACTTTCACACACACCAAAAATCCTATTTATCATTAATTTGTAACACAAGAGCCATAATAGACAATAGAATGAGTTGATGAAAGGATTGGAGAAATTAAGGGAGAGGTATGTTCTTACCTTCAAGAATTCCTTCTTTTTCCCCTTTTTTTTTCTTCTTCTTCTTACTTCTCTACCTCCCTTCCCTTGAGCCAACTCTCCCTCTCTCACCCTCTCCTTGGGCTTTAGAAAAACGTGGGAGTGGATTTGGACAAGCCCTCAATTTATATAATATAAGGTAGCTTAATGGCTAAGATAACTAAATATCTAGATAGTTTTTTATTTTATTTTATTTTATTTTATTTTTGTTTGTTGTTATCCAATCACTTTTCCACCAACATATTATATATATATATATATAAAGAGGGTTTCTAATCCACAAACCTTGTAGGAGCTCCAATATTTCAATCTGAATTTTCTAATTTTTTGATTTAAATTTTTTTTTTATCATTTATTGACTTCTTCCAATCCACAAACCTTTTTGACTTCTCGAGAAACTATTATCGCACCATTTTCAACTTCTCCCATACACTATGGTTAGTGATGGGATTGTTAAATTATTTTCATAAAAAATCTAAAAAAAAT